GCCCGTCATCTCGCGTACCAAGGATAGCGATGGCTTGGGTCGCACTTTTCGCAAAAGCGAACAGCGTTGGCCATTGCAAGTAACGCCAGGGGGCGGGCGCCGAGCGCGCAACAATACCCATGGTAAGATGTGTTGCTTAATGTCATTGAACATTAATTCATGCGGTTAAAAAATTATACCGGGCGAGACTTGTTTAAAACTTCGGGATTGTCCTCTGGGCAGATTGCCAGTTACAGCAAGACGGAATTATACATTTTACCAACCTTTCCAGTTCCAGGACCAGACCACAACCTTTCCAGCACCACCTCGCGGTGCTGTAAAGGCCAATACGTTATTGTCATCAGTCTAAAAACCGCACGGGTAAAATATGCGTCCGGAACATCTCTAAATATGCGATTTGGTGTCTAAAAGCGTTCAAAGGTACTTTTTTCAAATGTGGCACCATTCGCGCCACGTTTTGGCCACAACTTAATGTTAACCGCAGGGCCGACCCCGCACGGCGCAGGGAGACTGCGACGCCTGGCGTCGAGTTCTTTTTACCAATACATGTGAGAGCGCTAGCTCAAACTACTTGTACCACCAATCGATTCTGACCAAATACCGAACACAGGGGTGAAAAAGGTATATTTTCCGTCACCGACGAAATTTGGAGCCCTCTGCATTGTCACCTGGAGCCGAGTGTCTCAGAAACCGTTGCAATATAATCTCAGTGCGATAAACCACAAACAGGACAAATTTAATGCAATCCGGCATAACCATTAAACTTTTTTGTTTCGGGAGTTCAGTTGCATTAAAGTATCATTTGCCGGCCATTACGCACTGAATGTTGCGCAAAATACAGCTAACGGGCCTCAAAAAGTCATGTATTCTGAGCCACACAGAACGTCACTTCTATTGTCCTCCAACAGCGTGCGCAGTTCCACTAAAAAACCCTGCCGCCCAAGCCTCCTAACCCACCGGTCCCCTCGCTGCACGCTCCCGCGCCGTCCTGCCCACACAACACTGCACAAGAAACCTTTCGTGGCGTTGCTCGCCCCTTGCGCCCACTTCGCTGATCTTTAATCATAAACTTAATTAGCAGCTCACGCTCCCCCCCAGATCCCGCGCGAACGCCGCAGAACGGATCAACACTCGTCGCACAAGTCGCGGACGCGCAGTCTGACTAGCCAGCGATTCCTGCTGGGCTTTCCCGCAGGAGTGCCCTCTCTTTCCTCGCCCCTGTCGATCACCTCTTCTTCCTCGGGGGACCGCCCGCTGCCTCCACCCGCGTCTCGTCGCGGACTGCTCCGTCTGCCGCTACCGGCGGTATTTCGATTTGGCCGTCGCCTCCCCGCCGTACCGACCAGCAGCCGCAGTCGTCGGCGTCTTCATCGCCTACCTGAATGCTCGGCCTGGTCTCCTCAGCTGGCGTTACCCGCGTCGGGGCGCCGCCTGCTAGCAAGTCACGCACGTGGTGTGGTACCCCGTCTCTTTCAACCGCTAGAGGCGACACCACGTGCGTCACGGTTCCAGCCGCGCTAGGGGCGTCGCATCTGCGACTTGGGTCGCGAATCCACACCTGGTCGCCGACACTGAATCGACATGTCACAGTCCCGGGATCATGCTCTTTCTTATCAATGCCGCGGACTCTCACCTCATACGCGTAGAGAACGTTCACCGGCGCCGTACCGGCACTCACATTGTCGTTAGGCGTGACGTTATATCAGTACACGGTGTCCAGCACGAGGCAGCTGATGCGGGCCACCATCCGCTTCACCATACGGTGACAGCGCTCCACTACGCCGTTCCCGGATGCCTGGTGTGCACTTCCGAGCCGAATCACGACAACGGCCACCGCCCGGCAAAGTCTCCAAAGGTGTGTCTGCGGAAAACTGTCGCGTTGTCGGTCAACAGTTCCGTCGGTGCTCCTCTCTCACAGAACATTTGCTCCAGCTGCTCGATGACGCTGGCACTGTCCTGCCTCCCCAGACGTCACCACACAGCGCACTTCGGCGGTCCGCAATCGACGAGCGTACGGTAATGCGCGGCACCGACGTGAGTTATATCCGTACTTTGTCGCCGCCAGTTGTCGCTCACTGCCAGCTCGCCCCGCTCCCACCACACGGTGGCGGGGTCGATGGATTGACATTGCTGACAGACTCGCACTAGGTCGCGTACCACTCGCTTCGTCGCACTCAGTCCAGCTCGGCGACAAAAGTACAGAGTGCGCCGCACACCCGGGAGCCCAGAGGCCTCGTGAACTTTGCAAATCTTCTCGTCGCTGACCCTGGCTGACCCGTCGTCGCCAACGACTTCGTCGCCCGCAACGGTGATCGCCGGAGCACCGGTATCGCCACCTGCGGTTCCCGTAGTGGTCGCGGCAGCGTCAACAAGTTGAGCATCTCTGGATGACCAAGAATAGTTGCAAGCGAAAATGAAGGGCCCACGTGAAGTAAAAAAACCAAAACAACTTCAGTGACTGAAAAAGTTGTGACTTGGGAACCCCAGGCTTTATTACACTATCTAGGGGCCCTATGCTGTTTCTGGTGGATCTACATGCCCACTTGCAGGGGCATTCCGATTGTTAAGAAGCCTTTCACGTTGCCCTTGATTTTTTTTTGCATTTGCTCGGAGGGCCCTATGCTGTTGCTGGGCCCTTCCTGCTAGCGTGACAGGGGATTCTTGTCAATCAAAGGGTCTTCCACGGATTCTTTTCATTCGCCAGAAAGGCCCTGCGGACTATAGCCGGGCTCCATATGTTAACCTGCCGGCGTACTCTCGGCTGCTCAGCGGCCCTCTATGTGTCTCGGTTAACCTACTGACATACTCGCGATGTGCTCAAGGGCCCTCTACATTGGTCTAGGGGGCTTCCAATTTTTTTGTCACTTGCTTAGGGCCCTACGCTCTTGTCGGGGGCCCATCTGATAGCCTGCTTGCACACACTCGGTCGTTCGGGGACCCTGCACACTGCGTCTTAGGTACTTCTTATCTGAATGGGGGGAGGGGGGGGGGCTACCCGTTGGTGGGGGCCTATCTGATAACCTGCTCGGGCGCTTTCGATCGTTCGGGGGCCCTCTTCATTGGGCCTTGGGCACGTCCTATTTGAATGGGGGTCCTTACGCACTTGTCGGGGACCCCCTTTGTTCGTTCCCTCGGCCACACTGGATTGCTCGGGGTTTGCTGGATTGCACATTGGGTCTCGGTGTTTGAATTTAGAGGAGCTCTGCGCTCCCATCGGAGCTATGTGATAGCCTCCTCAGGTACGCTCCATCTTTCGGGGGCACTCCGCACTAGGTTCTGGGTACTTATTATTTGAATGGAGTTTCTTACGCTTTCGTCGGCCCTTCTGATAAGATGTTCGGGCCCATTCGGTCGTTGAGGACCTCTACATCTGGTTTTGGGTGCTTCCTATTTGAATGGAGGTTCCCCCGCTCTTTTCCAGGCCCTGTCTGTTTATCTGCTCTGGCGCACTCGATTATTCAGTGACCTCTACATCACGTTGTGGGTACTTCATATTTGAACGGAAGGCCCTACGCTCTTGTTGGGGCCCATCTGCTAACTTACTCGGGCGCACTCGATTATTCGGGGGCCCTCCACATTGTCAGTACTTCCTATCTGGATAGAGAACCCCACGCACTTGTCGCAAACCCATCTGTTCTCCTCCTCGGCCACGCTGAAGTGTTCGAGGGCCACGTACATTGGGTCTTGGTGTTTGAATTTTGGCCCCTACACTCCTGTCGGGGTCATCTCATAATCTGCTCAGGCACACTCGATCATTTAGGGGCCCTCTACATTGGGTCTTGGGTACTTTCTATTCAAATGGAGGGCCCCACGCTCTTGACGGTGAGCCTGTGTGTTAGCCTGCTCTGACACACTCGATCATTCGGGGCCCTGTTTATTGGGTCTTGGGGGCTTCCCACTTGAATGGAGGACCCTACGCTCTTGACGCAGGCCCTATATGTCAACCTGCTCGGACACACTCGATCGTTCCAAGCCTTACGTATTGTGTCGTGAGTATTTGTTATTTGAATGGGTGGTCCTGTGTTCTTGGCGGATCTCGCTAAGATCTCATTCTCTCTCTCTGCTCTCATTCTCTGCGGATCTCATTAGGCTGCTCGAGCCGGTGGCGGATGTAGAGGGTGGCTGGAGGCACGGAACCATACCCCTCCCCCCCCCCCCTATAGACCATGCCGAGGGGGCTTAAAGGCTCCGAACACTGCCAACACAGGGCCTCATTGCGCTCTGTTAGGCGCTGTGGGGCCCTGGCCCGCGATAGGCGCTGGGGCGCCGACGAATGTAAATCGCTTGCTCCGCCTTTGTGCCTGCTTGAGAAATGAGCCCTCAGGCTATGCTGACACGAAGCCGACTGTTCGTCGCTAGCGGTAGCTGGTCGACATATGAGCCCTTATTGACTCAGGGAGTGGGGGTGGGGCCTGATTAACGCGCGCGGCTATCTGGCTGGTATTGGAGTACTCGGCCCTGCAGGCCGGGACCCCTGAGTGCTTCTGTCCGGCCTTTCGGGCCCTTCGGGCCCTCAAATCGGAACCTGGGGGAGGGGGGCGGGGCACGGATCCCTGTGCCCCTGCCTGCGTCACTGCCCTTCGCCGCCCAGTGGGCTTCAGTGCACCGAGGGAAAGACCCTTGATTTCTGATAATACCGGTGTCGCAGAAACGGAATAGCGTGATGATTTTCTACCCACTAAAAAGTAGTACAGATGGTCGACTGAGCCGGTACGTGGTTGAAAGGAGACGAGATACATCTCAGAGAGCAGGAGCACATTCAGGATTTCATATGAGAAGTAGGAAGACACAAGACAAATCGGAGGTGAGCATACCAAGCTGAGTAAAAAATTATCTCCCTCGCCATTCCTTAAAGGGAAAACCTCTTATGCACGCCTTTTCGAAGATTTGTGTTTAACAAAAGTTTCATGCTTTAGCAGCCCTATTCCTTTTCAACTAGATCACGGCCCTGCACATCTACCAGACAAGCTTCCTACTAAGCCAGCTGACCCATCCGATTCTTGCAGTTTGTGGACAGAGTTTCGGCCTTGGGCGAGTGTGTTAGTTGAGGATCTGCGTTGTAGTGTGAGGTAGCTGACACATTTTGGGGACGGATTAAAGGGCAAGATATTGTACCTCAAGTTTCAGGACATTGCTGACACAGGTAATCCGTTTGAATCCCACGTATGTGTTGAAAGCGTGCTTTGTCAGACGGATCCGATGCCTCGACATGTACTGGTTCGTAGCAATTTTTCTTTGATGAATTTCGAATCTGAGTTCTAATTTTGCAAAATTCCGAATGTCGTTGCGTGTGTAAGAATATTTGTACGTAGTATTCTCCTGATGTGGGGAAAATGCATGACTTTGTGACAGGCATAGGGCTCAAAATCATGCATCTTAGCACCTCTAGCCTTCTGGAAATATTTCGGGTTTGTTGTGTAGTGTTGAGCAACAGCATATTTTGAATCTACTCATTTTGATGTGCATACACTATTTTGAAAGATAGTAATTCAGATGCACAGGAAGATGTGCGGAAATGTGTTGGTCATGTGATTCCAGTACTCTGGTTGAGTGTACTCAGGCACACTCCTCATTCATGACATACATCACAATTTGGTAGCTTCTATGATGTGGTCCTGATTGCCAAGAGGGAAGTGGAAAACTGTTCTCTTAAAGTCAAATACTGACCTGCATTACAGACTGGTGAAGAAGTAATTTGAGTTAATCTTGGAAACAAATAAGTTTCAACATCTTGTGCTAGGTCTGTCAACCAATTTGGCTTCAAACTAAAGCATATATAGGGTAAGGCACATATGGGCTGGAAGAGATTATTGACTTATGCAAAGTATGCAGAGCAGTGTATTTGTTTCTTAGATGCAAGGGAGTATTTTGACCATGCCAGTTGTAACATGCTCCTAAATTGGTTGCTAGATTCCTTTGTCAAAAATCTCTGAAAAGTATTCTTTCAGTCACTGGGTGACACAATTTTAAGGCTTTTACAACCGTGTTCCAAACAAGGCTAGTCAATCAGAATTTAGCAACCTGACTGAAAATACAGGTGGTATGTTGGCAGAAGTTGCTGGCTGTTTCCATGACATGTACAAAATGTCCACATTGACTTGGTAGTAAAATGGATCAAAGAACTGGTAAGTATGATAATGGTTGTGATGATGTATGATCACTTGTTACTATTTTGACATGGTATCACACCTGTTGGCATTGAGTGCTCATATAAATTCTGGAAAAAGACATTCATTTGATAAATGCTATAACATGTCAATTGCAGTTGCTCATTTAAGTCTCCAGACCCATGCTAGGGTGCAATATAAGTGTTTGAGATGCTTGTTCAGATATTAAGATTTTATAGACTCCCATGCTTGTGTGTAATACAAGCATTTTGATATGCTTACAAATTTAATTAATTCAGGGTTAGTAGATAAAGCTTATTTCCCATGGGTTAAGATGTGCATCTAGTCTGCCCCTCCTGCCAGGGTGAGTGCAGGAGGCACCATATAGCCTCAGCTGCTGTAAGTTGTCATAAAGCCTTGGTGGCATGACCTTTGAGATGCTTTTCCATGCAATTTATATTATCATTAATTCAGTTGTGTTTAATGGGCAGCAAGAACATTTATCCCTGGCACAGTGATGAAGGTGTGAAGGATTAATTTCATATTTTGCTCAACTCCAAGCATTAATTTCTCTGTCCTGCCTTTTCCTTTAAAGCAGAACTATGCTGTGTAATGTTTACTGAGTGGCTTCACAGCAAGGCCAGGTGTGCAGGTGGTGATGAAGATTGATGACCAAGTGCACCTGCTGTTGCAGTTGCAGGTTGTGTCCATGATGGACTCGAGGCGAGGGTATAGCTCGTACCGTGACTCAAGCAGCGACACAGACCAGGACGCCGAGGACCGGCGTGACCGTCTCTACAAGGATCGGGTCGGGTGAGTCACGAGCTCCGCCAGCGCTCAACAGGTGGCAGCATGTGTCTCACCAGTAGAGTGGGCCACCTGTTGAGTGTCACACCAGTAGTGCTCCAAGTTGGTGTGTCTAGGCCACTGCGTGGATTCAGATGATTCAAACTGGTTGGTATATGGCTGTGGTCTGAAGTTGAACTGTGTTCATCATGTTAACTTTAGGTGAAGCCCACATGATAAAAGTCTGCTGGGTACAGGGGCACAAAGCATATGATAAGTGCACAGTTTTCCTTTTTTCATATGCTTGTCAGTGACAAGTTATATCGGGCACTTTTAGGAACCACAACCACATACTGCATGTAAAAGTGGTGTGGTCAACCACCACCAGTCTGGTTTTGCCATGTTTTTCATCCATTGTGAAATGCTGCTGTGGGTGGAGGATCGAAATGGCTGCTCCCGCACGCTGTTGACACAGGACGGCTTTGCGCGGGTAACGAGCCAGGCGATAACGGGCTCGGGAGTTATAGTCGTTATTACATAGGTGATGCATAAAACTTAGCTAATGGAAGCAGACTGGATTGACAGCCCGTGCCAACAAGTGTTATCAATGCGTCAAAAACCTGTTTCGAAGAACAAAATTGAAAACCGCAAATGGATCGCAAAAACCGATGTAGCATTTGCGCGGCAGTTCATAGACGCATGGCTTGACAATTGGCGAGCTAAGAGTGCGGCTTGGTCTAGCAGATTTATCAGCGTACAGTTATTCGCAATTTTGGCAACAGTTATCAAATTATGACGAAAAACGCAAATGTTTTGGGTGGATGTTGGCAACAACGAACAGTGATGTACAGTGTTCTGTTGCTCTGGGCTGCACGCATGGTCGTCTAGTTGGTGCAGTTGGGTAATGGACATGATTGGGCAGATGGCATACCTTCGGTTCAAGCCTGACGTCGGTAGGGTTTTCCCCGCCAAGGGGGTGGCGGCAGTTGGAAAGCGATCATCCTTCCGTACGATGAACGCAGTGTCGACCATAACCCGCGGCACTGGGTTAAGGGGACAGTCTGTCTTTAAAAAGTCACGATAGTCGGTTCGGTTCTGCAACCCTCCCAGAGGAAACGGCCCCGCTCGGTTTGCCGGAGGCTGTACGCGTGCGTACTGCGCGGACATCTCGACAGCAAGCTAGTGGTCAAAACTCCCGCGAAGGTTCCGAAAACAGAAACCTCTGCAGTGTGCAATCTATGTATGTTTCTGTGTCCCTGCTTGTGTTACTGGCCAACATCTAACCAGGCAAACCCGTGTAGTGTGACGCCGAACGTATACAAAGTAACGATACAGCTGTGTAATTTTTCACAGCCCAATCCCTCGGATCTAAGAACGGCGTGTGGTATTCCAGATCGCTTTTGGAAGAGGTGACATGGGCCGCTTTCCGGTCGACCACTGGTGCACCTGGGTGAAACAGGGTCGGATATATGTAAATCGGTTGCAGCCGGCAGGCACCCTCAGCTATGCTGTGTAGTTGGTTCCATTTCATCTGCTTCAGTCGCTGAGATGTGGCATTAATTCTGAAATGCGTCGGAAAACGGACGGATCCACGGTTTCATCACGACTGTGGGCGAAAGTATGCACGCAGCGACGCAGACTTACCAATACCATTGTTCGTTCCGCTGCATCAGAATATGCTAACTTAAAGACCGTGCGACACTGAGTCCTCAACATCCTCACCGCGCTTTAACCCGTGCTCTTCAGCCTCTCTGCAACCGTAAAATGTGTTTTGTGCTAATCGACGGAAGGGTAAATCGTGGTGCCACGGCAATGTAGCACAATCCTGTGTGATCAGCTCTAATAAAAATTACTAACAATTTCCAGAGCAAATCTGTCACGAAATTACGCGGCTCTGCCATGGCCCCTGAGCGCCAATATGGCCAATACAGTCACTGGCGCTATACAGAAAGAGCGTGACGACATGGGTCACGTTCCTTTGTAAAATGCTATAGGATTACGCTTCTTTTTTATTTTTGTAGAGTTTCACTTCTTGTTGAAAAGTGCAGTAGCCTGCGGCCAGGGGTTGCGAATCAAATGCAAGTAGAAATTGCTCCGCTGGGCTGACAGTCTGGTGCGTAATCATAGCGTCTGGTTGTCAAACACTTCCCGTTGCATCTGAATGATATGATGGAACTTCCCATTCAAGGGAATATTTCACACGTAACACGTGCTCGGGTAGGGGGCGGGCAAGTTGACCCCCCGAAGGTTTTTCCAGAATGGCTTCCGAACGGCGCGGCGTAGCTGCGCCAAATTGTGCATAGCTGTAGACAATTGAATAGCGGATCGTTTGCCATCAAAAATTTAGATGTACCTTGTAAGGTCGCTGAGCTATGGCAGGTTAAAATCAGGCACTGGTTTCAGCGAAGGTAATTTCTAGGCAATCCTTCAATCTGATCCAAAAACCGAGTGTTAGACGGAGCCATGCATCTCTGAGATACTTTCTTAGGAAAACAGAACAGTTGAATGAGTAAATTATGTTGACTTAAGGTCAGGTATGAGGGGCACACCAGGGTGAAAACTGGCCTGTTTTGTTACTCTAGGGTTTGCTATATGGGATAGTTTCTGGTGCACGTTTCGAGTTTATTGATAGCAGGAACCGCATTATACATCTTCCATGAACTTCTTAGAGGTAAGAATAGGTCATTGACCCAAAATGACCCAGGTCACCATTTTGTTTAAGGAACATACTGCCTAGTGTAATCTTTGTCGCTTAGTCAAATTCAAACTCAAAGCCATCTTGTATGATTTTGGTCACCTTGACCTTTTAAAAGTCAAACGACGTCACCGACCTTGAATGAGAATGTGACCTTTTGCTAAGACACGGTTATCTAGATTCTAGGGGCACGTAGGAGACCAACCTGGAACTTGACTTTGTTTGACCGTTTTTGACCCGAAGGTCATGACCTCGGAACTTGAAACTTTGACCTAAGTGAGTTCACGTACGGGTCAACACGCTGTACATTTGGTGTCTCTAGTTTTTTTATTTTTCGAGAGCTCAGTGGGGGGGGAGGGCAAATTGACCCCCCCCCCACCCGAGTGAACAGTATCTAGCCGGCCACCCGGGCGCGTGTTAAATATACCGAAGCTTGTATCAGATATGATGAAACAAGCTGAATTAACGATTGGTATACTTTTTAAGTGAAAAAGTCTACTCTAGATAGCACAATTCTCCGTTGAGTAAATATGCTCCTCAGTGCGCTATGGTTTGATTACGTCATAGTATCTTGCACAACATGAGCTCAGAGCCAATTGACTGCCGTTATATTGAAAATCGTTCTCAAGAACGCTAGATATGAAGGCATCGACAATTACATTTTTTCTTGGCTTTGGCCGCCGCATGCCTAGAGAATGACTCTATTTGAATGACGTTATTATAACGTCGTGAATGCCATGGTGAACGGAAATATTCTCCCCGAAATACTCTTCCGATTTTCGCGGGCGTTTGGCTAAAAAACTAGAGGGGTTTAGGGTGCTATGAAGGCAGAGTTATGAACAGCACCGAAAGGTCTTCAAGGTGTCTATTTCGGATTGGAGTATTAGCATTATTCCTCGGAGAAAAAAACAGGAGAATGGATATATAGTTGGGTTGATATTTCGGCGACATGCCTTTATCGAGACAATACCAGAAGTGAATTCAAAATTGCCCTACCGATGGTCCTGCTCGATTTTTCAGGTTTGTTTTGAAACAGCAAGCCACAGTTTTTACAGGACACCAACATTCAGGGGATTAAATAAAGAGCGATTGCCAGCCCATTACCACCGCCGATACCGTGTCTACCCAAGAGCTTAGAACGCGCGAAAATACGTGTGCATGCAAACGAATTTAAGCAAATATGCATCACGTATTACGTATTTCATTCAAACATGCAAGCGAGTTGAAGTGAACAGGTAAACATGCACTCGCACAACAATTATACATGGCAAGCGATTTTCAGTCGAACAGGCATTGCACATCACGCGTCTGGCATCCTTCCACATGTAAACGATGTTAAGCTAGCACACATCACACATAAAGGCACATATCACGTTTTCATAATCGGCCACGATGAGCCCTGTATGTTAAGAGTTGGTCTTAGATTTTTTATAAGGATAGATTGATTTATTCTCCTGTCTGGGTGATCCTGTGCTCTGCAGATGACTTTGAGCTCCAAAGGTGTTTATAGGTCCATACCTCCCGTAATTTCAGCCTGAGCGTGTTTTGCCCAAAAAAGGTCACCGAAAGGGGTATTCCGCTGTCTTGCTTTTAGCGTCTCGCAGATGTACATTACATCTCAAACGAATAGGACGCATGGCGTCCCCGACATAGACTATGTCCCTCCCATGTCTTTCACACAGTTTACACTTGATTTCCGTAAACCTTCGTTTTTTTGCGTGGAAACCGCTTGAAACCCAGAACTGCATAAATGACATCTGTTGCCACCCAGGCACTTAGGCTTCGAGATGGAAGATTCCACCAGAGACGTTTTAAGCCTATTGTTGTTTTTCCAAGCTATGCGTACACGCAATTTTTGATTTTTTTAACATTGTGTTTGATTTTCCAAAGCAGATGCTTATCTATGTAAGGTAGCGTTGATAATCCGTCTTCCCATAGGACGTGTTCCCGCCCCCCTGCCACCCTTCCCCCATGCGCTCCAGACCTTTTTTGACTCCTTCCAACATTCCATCTAAAAGTTGCGGATAATATGCGTTGCCCAACAGCAAAGCCCATATTTTGTTTATACTCCTTCTTTCTTTTCACTATTTGATGAGCCGTTAGAGCCTGTGAAGCGTGTTACGGATTATGTTGTGCTTAGTGGAAAGTTAGATGCGCGGATTCGCAGTGCAGAATAATTCTAGAGTTGGTGGGCTTGATAAAGAACTCCGTTTCTAACGTAGTGCGGTTGTTCTTCCACTAGTGTATCCAAATATGGGACCCCTTTTCCGCCCCCTGTATGCTCCATCGTAATAGCTGGATTTGGATGCTGGCTGTTCATGAACTCTAAAAG